GTGTCCTTATTTTTGGTTCTTGTCCTAACAAGACTTGGAATATTGTTTCTAAAGCGATGATGGACTGCATTAAATCCCTCTACCTTTCTTTGATGATTTCACCTGTACAATGGAGTTCTCTGCAATTATGAGGTGGTCGGTGCAACAGAGTCAAGGACTTGGTTTTGTTTTCACTTAGCAACACCCCCACCAACATACCTTATTGGCCTAAAAGGGAGTAGGGGTTAGAGTGTTGCTGAGTATTTTAGATGCTACAAGCGCTGAGATTTTTAAAGACATAACATTCATTCTCACGTATGTTTTACTATATGAAGAACTATACTAACAAACTGAAGCATAGTATGTCATCAGGTTGTAGGAGTTCAGATAATAAAGAATAATGAGAAATTAATGGAAAAACAAAAAGAAAACAGTTTCTCACTTCCTACCTCACAATTCCCACAAAGGGCAGCCACAAAGTAAATTTCCTGAAATAACATTACATATTAATCATAATAAAAAGTGTCACTCTGTGTTAAACTGTGGTTGATACCTCAATAAAATGTATTTTGCTGCCAAAGGTTTATTTATATTTAGATTATGGTTAATAATTACTGTAATGTAAGGTAATTATTTAAAAGTAGTACTTTTTTGGAAAGATACCTAAATGTATATCAGATGCACAGAAAAAAAGAAAATATGCCGTTCAAATTTCAACATTGACATATGTCTGTTTCCCAAACTGAAGATCCATTAAATAAATTTCATTTATTAGAAAAATTATGCCCATTTTTTGAAGGTTTCCACAGAAAAGTGAAAAACAGCAAACATGTTGATAGGCAAAACAGGAACTAGACTTATTTTGGGCAAAGTATGTTAGAATACTATGTCTATATTTTGGGAAAAGTATTTTAGAATTTACCTAGGCATGGCTAGCAACATTTGTTTCAACCTGTTTTGTTCATTTAGATCCACATACAAAAAAAGTTGATTAGATGACCTCTTACCATCACAAGTGTTCATTAAGAATTTAATGGCATGCAGTGTCTCGGTAGGTTAAGGGTAAAGCAAGCCAGCTAACACTATACTCCGTCCTTCTAAGAGAGGAGATTGGCCAGAAAGACAGCAGTAAGGAAAAACATTACATAAACAAGTAAATGGGCCTACAGAGTTAATGAGGCATGAAGAGATTGGAAGTCAGTACATTGCCTTCAACATCCTATGAAAGTGCCTAGTGACGAGACTGCAGGGGTTATAAGGGTAGTACTAGTATAAGTGTATGATCACCTGAACTGAGGCCCTTGTAGAACAATGTTTATGAGAGAACAGTACAGACTACTGCTAGGAATACATAATACTGTGTAAATGCAATCTGTTCTGTAGTATTCTCTGAAGAGTGGTTCAGTTTTCAAAAAACCCAGTAGGCTGAAAAGGATGCACTGCCAGCTGAACAAAAGTTATGAAGTTATTTTAATAAAGTGCAGAAAATCATATGCAAAGCTTCAGGATGTCAGAGTACCACTGATGCTAGACATAGGACAAAAGTAGCAAAGGAAAATGTTTCTCTCTTCCAGTAAAAAAATATATATGAGGGCTGGGGATTTAGCTCAGTCATTTCGCCACCCGCTGTGCAAGCACAAGGACCCAAGTTCGATCCCCCGTACCAAAAAAAAAAAAAAAAATACATATGAGTTCACTAAGAGAGCAAGGAAGCAATGACATATGCTTAAACAGGTACTGTGATAAAAGTCAATTTATGATAAGTTCTTTCTGAACTTTTTAATTATGTTCTAAGTTATAAATGAAAAATTGTTATAATCAATTAGAAGTTCAGCAAATTGAAATGGGAAAATAATATGAATCACTTGATACAAGTAGAAACACATTCAAGAATAGTATTAGGAGGAAGATTACTAATAGGTAACAGGAAATGTAATTTCACACACAAAAAAATGATTTCAGGAGAGGCTGTAATGAATTGTATTCTCCCACAAGGTATAAAAGATTCCAATGATTCACATACTTTCCAAAATCTGGTGTTCTCAGGCATCCAATTTTGCCACCTATGCAAATGTGCACTTTGTAAACAAGGATATAATCTTTTTCTTTAGTTTCCTTAGAATTTCACATAGAATCAGAGGACTCTGATCACAAATAACTGATGCGTGAAACTCAAGTGCAAAGAGCTTAGACTGGAACCAAGATGTTCTGTAGTTTTTATTTTAAATTTCAAATCTTCTACTTCTTTTTTCTATATCTCAACTTTCTTGCACTGCCTCTCACACTATGCCATATTGTCTCTTAAATAACAGAATGCTAAATCACAGCCAGTTTGAACTAACATGAGATTATAGCAATGAGTATTCCAAAAGATGGAAGACATATCTACACAATTATTTTATTAACCTTTCAAAAATAAGAGGAATTGTTTCTAAATCAGAGTTCATAACTTAGAGAAGAGAAAGTACATATCATAAATATTTTATAAACACATGTGGAATATGAATAACTGAACTAGTGAAGGAAAAATGAGAAATTTTAAATGATAATAGAAACAATAACATATACTATTATGATAATTCAAATAGATTAATTTTTTTCCCTGTACCTGGAATTGAACTCAGGACCTTGCACTTGTGAGGCAGGCACGGCTCCACTGAGCTACATTCCCAGCCCTCAATCGATTCTTTTTTTTTGGTACTGGGGATCGAACTCGGGTCCTTGCACTTGTGCAGCAAGTGACGAAACCACTGAACTAAATCTCCGGCCCACTCAATCGGTTCTTATAATTTCAAGAATTAAATTCCTAAACTTAGGGAATAATAAATCAAACACTCACAAAAATGCTTAAATATGCAAAATAAAATTTTAAAAACTATAAAACCTAAGTAATTTGAAATTCCACAGCATGTTATGAGGTTTCAGTTGAAACTGTTTAATGAGTTTGAGATGCAAAGTTGAAATTTGTGTCAAGGGCTAATTTACACTTTAAAATGGTCACTTGCTTATCACAGAATTAACTTACTTTACATATCACATAATATTCTTGCCACTTCCATTAAGAGAGACATAGAAAATATGATAAACTATTTATATCATGTAAAAAAGGCCTCTCTAGTTCTTATAAATAATAAATTAAAATTCTGAATTAGAGACCAAAAATAAGTAAAATGAGTGGGAATATTATCAAGCCTGAAAACAACCCTCTACCAAAGCGGCATACATATTATGCTAAAAAAAATAAAGAACCATAATACATTAAATTATCAGTCTTCTATGTGAAATGTAACCTAAGTGTGAAATAAGTACTAAGACATATTTTTCTACCTCACATTAGTAAAAGCCTTTCATACAAAAAAAAAAAAAACAACTCTTGAAAACACTGCTAAATAGCCCACATCAGGTTTCTTCTATACTTGAAACAAATGCAAGAAGAAGGATTCCATCTAGAGCAGTGGTGCCACACCTAAGTTCTACCATGGGCTGTTTTATCACTGAAAACTCTAAAAGGTTCACCATCACTGATCCATAGTATGAGATAGCAGTAAATTATGTCATAAAATCTAGGTTAGAAGATGACTATAATGATTAAGTTATTTTTCCTTTTATCCTGACCATTAACAACGCTAAGTGGAAATCAATTATAATTACAGAGATAGTGAATACTAAACTAATTAGCAACGTCAACTGATATATAGGAATAGTATCATTTAATATAGAAATTCGATATTATAATTTATATACTATATAGGAGATATAGGTAATATCAACTACACCAAGAAAAGCCATCTTAAGAAAAGAAGTCTTAAGTGTTTTAATGTCATAATTCTTAAATAAATTTCCTTGCTGCAAATATTTGTGAAAGCAGATATTTTTAAAGGTTAAAAACACTTCTTCAAAACTCTTGTTATGAAAGCATGATTTTTATTTTAATCTATACATTTGTGTTTTTACTTTTAAATGTAACTAGAGAAATTCAAATAATGCTCACCTAAATAAGAGATTTTAACATAACTAGTCATAATGATATAAATTTAATAAGTTTTATTTAATGGGAAGGTGGAAAGTTTCCAGTTAAATTGCTAAATGTTTTGGAAAAGTACATATAGTATTAACTCTGGCTAATTCAGTACCTTTTCCTTAATCGCTATTCCAAATTCTTCAAATATTATAGAAGTTCTTTTAGGAAACTGAGGTGTTATTCTTAGATGCAATCTAACATAATAAACTCCCAGTTTTTGTTCCATTAAATGAAAATACAGCAAAATGTATAATGGTTTTTGTAATGATTAAGTCTAATTGTCAACTTCACTAGATTAAAAGATTCCTAGATTGGGCCAGGGATTTAGCCCAGTGGTTGGTTCCGTCGCCTGCCTCGCAAGTGCAAGGACCCGAGTTCGATACCCAGCACCAAAAAAAAAAAAAAAAAATTTTAATACATATGCTAATTTGTTTCATTTATACTACTAGTTTCTTTTACTTCACTGAAAAGACAATTTTGGGTTATTATCTGTAATTATCTGTTTGTCTGTTGAAAGAAAAAAAAATTTTTATCTACATCTTGTACTCTCGAGTGACTAATGTTCCACAGTGTATAACTATTGTTATTCTCTTATTATTTTGTTATGAAATTTTGTTTTGTTTATAAAATAAATTATTTCAAAAAAACTAGTTGCAGGCTAGAATTCTTCAATGGGGCATAGTTTGCCAACTTGGGAAACAGATCAAAGAGAGGAGAGGAAGGAAGGGAAGAAGTAGTGAGAAGGACATGACTTGGAAGTAGGAAAGAAAATCAAAACGTGTTTAAGAACTATTACGTCTGAGAACAAATAGCTGTTTGTGAGGTTGACATTGTCTGTTCTATTGACCAACTTAGGCCCTAGAAAAGGAGCAAAGTGTTTCTAGATTTTTTTTTTTTATGAATTGTTTCAGTGCTGACTGAACTACTATCAGTACCAGTACATCAGCATAAATAATGAAAATATCGATCTACAGTAAGTACATCAAGTTGCCTGACTTACCTCAGTAATGGATGAAATATGACAGTAATGTTTCTGGCTCCAGGTTTGCAGACAAATTTAGTTCCTCCACCTTCAATTAAGTTGTCATCAGGACCCCCTTGCAGAAAAAAAACAAAAGAGATATTTAGCTCACTGGAACATTTTACAAATAAACCAAGTCTGTCTACATGACTGTTATACTGTCATAAGGATGATCTTTGAAAACAAATTATCTTCAATATCCAAAAATTATTTTGAATAGCTTGATCCAGTCTTTCTCACTTGATTAAACTATGAATTACAATGTTCACTTGGGAATGAGAAAATGAAAAGAAGCCTAGTAGGAATAAATGACATCCTAAAACCAACAGCACGAGTTAATAACTCAATAAAAATTAAAATTTTAACCTCTAGTCACCAGTCTCTAGCCCAGACAGTAACATGAAACTTTAAAGAGAAAGAAGTGCCATTCAAAGTTGTCCCCAGTTGTAGAGACTGATATAAATCTACATGACCATATTTCATCAAATTTAATAATCTACTGACTATAAGATGCACTATTATTTGATGTACCACTAGAAAAAAACACCCTCTTAAGTAAACTATACAATTGCTGTTTGAAAAATCTTTATATTTTCAGATTGGGAAGCTTTTTAGCTTATTCAATGAACAGAGGTTTACCCTATATCTCTGATAACACATTCAATCAGGAAACAGAAAAAATATAAATTCATCATGCCACACTTAAAACTCACACTTAAAACTATAATCATCTATCTCTCCTGAACGACTCTGATTCAGAGTTGTCAATGTTCTTATTTTCTAAACTGTCATCTTATATCACCATAAATGAGAGTATCTTAAAGAAGTGTTCCATGTTGCATCAAGTAATTTATTCCAAGCTGCTGATACCCATTCTGCAAAGTATAAAGCTGGTACTTCTTTGATGCTGTTAGAAGATTTAAACAGAAGACTGTCCTATGCCAGTCAGGATTTATATTCCTTCCATTGGAGGGTTATAATGCAAAAGGCAAGCACCAAGCTCACTCATACTGAGTCAACAGCATTTACTATGACTATTTTCCAAAGGGAGACAGCCATTTAGGGGCCTCTCATTTAATATATCTCCTAATTTCAGAGGTCAGAATGTGGAAGATGTATATAACTTTGGATATGGGAAGAAATGCTTCCACTACTACCCCAATCACATTTCTTTTCATTAAATGAAATTCAATTAATTTCCCTGGTATCGACCCATTTTTATCCACACCAGGGGAAGTGAAGTAATTCTTTCGAGACAAAAAAGGTAGGCATGTCTGGCTTAGTAAGCCCCTTATTCCACTTAGGATAGAAGAATGCCTACGGCTAGTAAGTGTTGTCTAGTATAAGTGGAGCTACAAGGCCGGGACTGTAGCTCTGTTATAGAGTGTTTGCCTAGAACAACTGAGGCCCTGGGTTCAATCCCCAGTATCACTATTAATAACAACAACAAGAAGAAAAAGAACAAGAAGTAGTAGTAGAGGAGGAGGAGGAGGAGGAGGAGTAGTAGTTCAGATATAAAGATCCTGCTTTTTAAGAAAAGGAATGAACTACTTCAGCACCATTTATAAATGGGTGAATACATCTTTCTAACTTTGATGTTAAATTTGAAAGCCCATATGACTCTCAATTTAGGTTATGTTCTTCAACCTAGCTATTATCAGTATAAAAATGGTACTTCACTTTCCTTCTACTATGTTGTTTCTTAATAGTTTAAGAACTCTAGCAAGAAATATGGATATTACTTAGGGGATTTCTGAAAAATCCTAGAAATCTACACCTACAAAATTTCATTTATTTCATCTAAATTAAACTTTTTTCTGATTATAGTTCCTTGCATGATACCAATTTTCAACAAATCTTATTGATTTATTATCTATCATAATAGCCTCTAACCAATGAGAAAATTGACGTGAAGCTTCAGAAATGAATACCCTGGATCATGCAAACTTCCCAGAAGAATCAGAGTCTAAACAAATACCACTGGGATTAGTTTTTTCTATTAACTAATCACTGGATACTTTTTCTTAAGAATAACAGCTGGGTATAGTAGTACATGCCTCAAACCCCAGCACTCAGGAGGCTAAGGCAGGAAGATTGCTGGGAGTTCAAGACCAGCCTGGACTACAAAGCTAGACCCTGTCTCAAATAAACATACACACACACAAATATATATATATATATATATATATAATATATATATACAAATATATGTATGAGAGAGACATAAAATGTTATATCTAAAAATATGCTTTAGATATAAAATTTTATATATGTAAATATACTTTTATATATTTATATATGACAGCATTCACAGCTCTTAATCCAAAATCATAACCTGCTTCTTCTCATTTGAAAAATTCATCCTATAATACCATATCACAAGTATTAATGTCCTGCTAAATGTTGAAGTTAAAAGAAAACCAAAATGAAAACATAAAGACTAAGAGAGGCTGGGTGTGTAGTTCAATGATAGGGCATTTACTTAGGAAGAGAAAGGTTCAGAGTTCATTCACTTCACAGCATCCTCTCCCCACGCCCCAAAAACCTAGCACAAACCTTACTCCTTTAATAAAAATCATCCCTAAAGGTCACATAGTATTGTTATAAACAGAAAAAATAATCCCAGAACAAATATATCTTTTTATCATCATAAAATCTAATCAGAATTGAATTACCAAGGACATGTATATTAAAGAAACTTGGTTATATTCTGAAAACCAAGAGCAGCATAAGTAATTTCCTATGAGATAAATACTAAAAATAATGCCTTATTTTACTCCAGGCTAACGTATCTTTATGGGACATATATAAGTTGGAATAAATGAATATCAACAGTTTTTGGATAGTCTGGTGTCTTTGATATTACATGTTCAATAACTGAATTGAGACTTGATCAATCTCACTCTAGACAAGCTAGTGGTTTCTTCATGTACACTGAAAGCATGATTTGCATATCCACATATTTCCTTGGCCAGACAGGACTCCCATCTGTCTCTCTCTCTCTGCCTATCAAACCTTTAAAACCTATGTCTCCCCAAAACTGTCAAATCCCCTCTCCCAAAGCTCACAGTTCTTTTATTTTTTTTTTGGTACCAGGGAAGAAATTCTGGTCCTTGAGCTTCTGCAGCAGGCAGTGAAACCACTGAGCTAAATCCCTGGCCCGCCCACAGTTCTTTTAACAACAACTTTATCTAAAACAATCCATATGAACCTTAAAATAGATCACTTTCATTATTGTTATGTGGATTTTAACTTTCACCTAGCTTTTCTTGTGTGGAAGGTAAGTTATTGAAAAGTGGCTATATAACCAGACATTTGCAGGATGAATGAAAAAACAAATACTTAAATGGGTAAAATGTTATTAGAATTGATGAGAAAAACCTGTGAAAAGCCTTTGTAAACTGTCAAAAGCTTAACAAGTGAGGTCTGCAGACATGGTCCTGAGGTTGCAAGCCGCACGGAAAACACCGAAATCAGCCCGCTGCAGACAGGCAGGTCTGCAGACACAGTCCAAGGTCACCAGTCCTGGAGAAAACACCTAATCAGCCCGCACCCTGGCAGCAATCCACTGGACCCCCCTCCTGCTCCTTTGGCCTCTTCTCTGTACAGCCACCTGGTTCCACACTACAAAGACACAGAGGACACTGGACCACCAGACTTCTTCACTGGAGCTGATCAAGTTCTCAGCACTTAAAGAATTCCTGCCCAGAGGTGGGGGCTTCTGAGCCACCCTCCCACAGCTCCTGGTCCAGAGGAAGGGGCTGCTTCCTCACCATCCCTCCTGCTGCTCCCAGCCCAGAGGAAAGGGCTTTGGGGTTGCCATCCATCCCGCCACTCCCAGCCCAGAGGTAGGGGCTTCTTAGCGGCCATCCCACTGCTCCTGGTACAGAGGAAAGGGCTTCCGGGCCGCCAAACGTCCTGCCGCTCCCGGCCAGAGGAAGGAGCTTTTGGGCCACCATCCCTACCATGGCTCCTGGCCCCTGGCCCACCTCTCCCAGCTCGGAAGAGGTGAGCCGCGCTGACGCCAACAGCTCCCCCCATACCCCCCAGTCGAAATGAGAAAACACGTAAATAAGTTTCAAAACCAGCCTTCCAGATCACCCACAGCAGCCCCAAAGGGAAATGAAATGGAACATTCTGATACACAACCATCTGGACCCACTGAACTGGCAAAAAAAGGGGATCTGGAAAAAAATGAAATCAGAAATACTTTCTCAGATAACAGGAGAAATTGTGCTCCTAGTGCAAGACATGATTAATAAATCTAGAGAGGAGCTCAGGAA